ATAATGCTTTTATTCAGATTCAAGCCATATCTGATAAATTATATAAAATAGAAGCTGACAAATTACCTTGATAGCAAATTTAGTTTGTGGAAATGAACACAATGATAATTTAGTACATGATCATACATATGAACAAAGCATTCATCAAAAAATACAGTCTTATTGGTTGGTAAGCATTCTGGATTGATTTTATTATAAGAAAAATATTTTAAATGTAGTTACTTACCAAGGTTCTTCTGTGAGTCATCAGGTTTATTTTCATTCATTTTACTAGGAAAAATAAGAACCTATCAATATAACTATCTTAATTTCAAAAGTCTCAAATTAACCATTTTGATTAAATTAAATTCCGCACAGGACTCCAGGAGGCTCGGAATCACCTCATACTCCAGTGAGGCATTCATTCCCTCACCATTACCACCAAGCAGTTCTAGCAGGCTGGTAAACCTGAGCATCTCTTTAAAAGTGTACGGATGTGTAGTTATTAAAACACTTAGTTGACTGCTGATACTCAGCAGAAAGGGGCTACAGGTGTCCTACAGTGTACCAAAAAGTCTATACAGCAAAGAACTGTCTGGACTTCTGTATTTCTGGATGAACACTAAAGTATTGGTTAAAGAGAAAAGAAAAAAAGATCAATAAAAATAAAACCCCAAAATATTCCCTTATAATTACATTAAACCTACAAACTAAGAGCATGTTAAATATAATCAAGTGTTTCTGTCTTCTTGCGAGGTTAGGACAAACTGAGTATTCTAGAACCACAACTTCTATGTAAATGAAAACTTTTTAATTTCTGTTCAAGATTTTATCAAAATCTGTTCACTGTTTAGGAAGGAAAAACAAAAATCCCACCACCAGAAGCATGTTACTTACCTTTCACTAATCCTTTATCAGTGCGTGTCTCTGGCTCCTGCCCCCAAATGTCTCATTTCATTTTGGAGCACAGTAGAGTTCAAACCACTTCAGTTACTAAGACTCATTAACCCACTTGCTTCCTAACTTCCTACCTATCTATCAAGCAACTAAAACCAAGTAACATCACTATGGTAATACAAGTGTGCTTCTAAAGCATCAAAAGAAGAAAATATATTAATGTATCACTTTACTAAGGATACCTATACAAACAGCTTACCTGAATTGATATGAAATTCAAGATCAGCAAGGTAATATTCAAGCTCTTGCAAATTTAGTGGAAAGAATAAATACAGTAATTCTAGTAGGTAAATGAATCTTGATAACAGTTGCAAAGCCAATGCCCGAGAAGGCTAAACACTGCTGAGTGTGGTGATGTGACACTGTCAGTGTGGTGATGTGACACTGTCGGTGTGGTGATGTGACACTGCTCAGTGTGGTGATGTGACACTGTCAGTGTGATGTGACACTGTCGGTGTGGTGATGTGACACTGTCGGTGTGGTGATGTGACACTGTTAGTGTGGGGATGTGACACTGTTAGTGTGGGGATGTGACACTGTTAGTGTGGGGATGTGACACTGTTAGTGTGGGGATGTGACACTGTTAGTGTGGGGATGTGACACTGTTAGTGTGGGGATGTGACACTGTTAGTGTGGGGATGTGACACTGTTAGTGTGGGGATGTGACACTGTTAGTGTGGGGATGTGACACTGTTAGTGTGGGGATGTGACACTGTTAGTGTGGGGATGTGACACTGTTAGTGTGGGGATGTGACACTGTTAGTGTGGGGATGTGACACTGTTAGTGTGGGGATGTGACACTGTTAGTGTGGGGATGTGACACTGTTAGTGTGGGGATGTGACACTGTTAGTGTGGGGATGTGACACTGTTAGTGTGGGGATGTGACACTGTTAGTGTGGGGATGTGACACTGTTAGTGTGGGGATGTGACACTGTTAGTGTGGGGATGTGACACTGTTAGTGTGGGGATGTGACACTGTTAGTGTGGGGATGTGACACTGTTAGTGTGGGGATGTGACACTGTTAGTGTGGGGATGTGACACTGTTAGTGTGGGGATGTGACACTGTTAGTGTGGGGATGTGACACTGTTAGTGTGGGGATGTGACACTGTTAGTGTGGGGATGTGACACTGTTAGTGTGGGGATGTGACACTGTTAGTGTGGGGATGTGACACTGTTAGTGTGGGGATGTGACACTGTTAGTGTGGGGATGTGACACTGTTAGTGTGGGGATGTGACACTGTTAGTGTGGGGATGTGACACTGTTAGTGTGGGGATGTGACACTGTTAGTGTGGGGATGTGACACTGTTAGTGTGGGGATGTGACACTGTTAGTGTGGGGATGTGACACTGTTAGTGTGGGGATGTGACACTGCTCAGTGCGGTGATGTGACACTGTTCGTGTGGTGATGTGACCCTGCTCAGTGTGGTGATGTATGCCTTTAATCCCAGCTTTTGGGAAGCTGAGGCAGGAGGGAGAGCTTGAGGTCAGTCTAGGATACAGGTTAGTCTGAACTACATAGCAATTAATTTATTTCTAAAAAGAAAAAGAAAGGCTAAACATCTGTACAAGTTCACAAAGCTAGTTAAGTAGGAACAGACTAACCACAACTGAGTGACAGATGGTAACTGTGCCTCTTTATGTGAAAATAGTGAAAGTACACAAAAATAGACTGCGGTATTAAATACCAAGAAGGACAAAAGCCACAAATGAAGATCACCAATAAATTTCATTCAACTCAAGATCCTGTAATGTGTAGGGCACACATTACCTTATGAATACGGAAAAATGAAATTGATACAATGCTTTCTTAGACTTAAGAGTTTCTATTCATACCAATGATATGATTTAAACATGAATTTTCTTACACAATGTTTTTAGTAAAAGTCAAATCTTTTATTGTAAAAGTTCAATTCTTGAATTACTCTAAGACTTCAATATTGTCTATTGATTTCTCCTTTAAAATATTTTCTTCTATGCCACAAAGATTGCTAATTCTTGGAAGAATACATAAAACAAAGAGACCAATTTCAAATAGGCTTTGAAATTAAATAGGTCTAGCCTACAGTTCTCAGCCCTTCTCCACAACTACTAATGTAGGTTTAATTTAAGAAGTATACCTTTGGGGCTGGAGAGATGGCTCAGGGGTTAAGAGCACTGGCTGCTCTTGCAGAGGACCCAGGTTCAGTTCCCAGCACCCACATGGTGGCTAACAACCATTTGAAACTCCAGTTCTAGGGGAATCTGACACCCTCTTCTGTCTTCTACTCCATGGGTACTACACAACACCGGTTCACTTACATACATGCAGGCACAACACTCGTAAAAATAAATAAATTTTAAAAAGAAAAGTTCCTGTACTCTTTCATAGTCTCTGGATTACTCTTCCTCTTCTCCCTTTACTAGAAAGGGGCACTGACATTACTGTATAGGGACTTTTGATATTTACATTCACTCATCCAATGACTACAGTATGTCCTGACTGGTCAAATTTATTGAGGGAAATAACATATACACGATTTTAAACATGTTAAAGAAGTGTGTGCATGTATGGTAGGTGTTGGTGCAGGGTTCCATCTTAAAACTGATTAACACAGCAAGTAAGATAAAATACCTATTTTTTTTTTTTTTTAGAAAATACTTCCATCTCTGGTTAATTCAGCATATCATAAACCCACGCATACACAAGAACTTGTTGCATAAAATTTCATAAATATATTTCACTTAAAGTAAATAGAAGACTTTTAATTTATAAATGTTTTCAATTAGTATCCAACAACATAAATGCACTGTGCAAATCATTATTTGCTGAATGTGAATGGTTACCTATGCAAGTTGTATAACACATAATGCAAGAATCTATTTTCTTTATAGAGAAATCCTAATTTCCCTGTAGTTACATATTCTTTTCCTTTTAATTATAAATTTTTAATTGGGGGGGGGATCTTTTTGAGACAGGGTCTCCCTATAGCTCCAGCATCTACATGGCAGCCTGGAACTCCTTATGTAGGCCAGGCTGGTTGAACTCTCACAGAAGTCTGTCTGCCTCTGCCTCCTGAGTGCTGGGATTAAAGGCGCGTGTCACCAAGCCTGGTCACCTTACCTTTTGAGATAGAGTCTTATTTGCTGAATGTGAATGGTTACCTATGCAAGTTGTATAACACATAATGCAAGAATCTATTTTCTTTATAGAGAAATCCTAATTTCCCTGTAGTTACATATTCTTTTCCTTTTAATTATAAATTTTTAATTGGGGGGGGGATCTTTTTGAGACAGGGTCTCCCTATAGCTCCAGCATCTACATGGCAGCCTGGAACTCCTTATGTAGGCCAGGCTGGCCTTGAACTCAAGAGATCCACCTGCCTCTGCCTCCCGAGTGCTGGGATTAAAAGCATGTGCCACCACACCTGGCTAATTATTTTAATGTTTATGAGTGTTTTGTCTGCATGTTAAGTAAGAGCACTCATGTGTGCAAAGCCTGCAGAAGCCAGAAGAGGGTGTCAGATCCCCTAGAACTGGAGTTATAGATGGTTGTTGCTGCCATGTGGGTGCTGGGAAGCAAACCCAGGTCCTCTGGAAGAATAGCCTGTGCTCTTAACCGCTGAGTCATCATCGCTCTAGCCCCAGTTGCATATTCTTGACCTTTTCCTACTCACTGTAATAACTCAAGGAATTTCTGTTGCTGAATAGTGCCACAAAGGTCTGACTAAATTAGTATAGGTACAAATAACCATGTTACTTATTTAAAAAAAAAAAAAAAAGAGCTGAAGCTGGGTGAGAGCCATGGTAGCAATGCAGTCTCCATAGAAGGTAGGAGTTTAGCTAGGAGATGGGCCCCCAGGAAGGCCCGTGAGGCAGAGGAGGGTGAGTTCTACCAGACGACTTATGGAGGATTCATAGAGGAACCTGGAGATGATGAATACCAAGGAGATCAGTCAGACATGGAGGAGGAGGAGGGCTCAGACACAGATGAATAAATGACCTATCCAGTTATGAAGAAGAGTCAACAAAGTACCCAATAGCCCCTGAAGCCCATGAGGAGCCTCTAAAGGTCAGCACCCCAGCAAGTAGCTCTTAGAAGGCTGGAGAAGACACTGCTGCTCCTGGAACTACAGGATGATGGCTCTGACAGCTGAAGTCCACACATCTGTCTACAGTGAACACATAAGACGTTCCTTTGAGTTCCATCGCAAGGGTGGTCCAGGAGGGAGAAGAGGCTGCACTGTGGTGACCACTAAGCCCAGGAAGAGCTAGCTGTTCAGTGAGTGAGGCTAAGATCACAGAAGAGCTCACCTTACATTCACAGGAGACATGAATAGCTTGAGGCTGATGG